TAATCGGCAGTCACCACATTGGACTACTTATAATCCATGGAGCATAGATACAGAAGTAAAATAAAACAGTGTGCAATGCTAATTATATGTAGACTACTGCATCGATACTGCCCTCCTACGACTAGTTAAAGTGGTTGGGCTTGCATACCAACACCAAAGCAACTCTACACATAAGCACTTTCTGACAAATGCCTACATGGTTTCATATATAAGATCATGCCGACACAATTTCGGTGCGTAAGCCTCTAAAGTAAGCAGCTTGAAAGATCAGAAGCTTTCAAACACATAATAGGATCAAAAGGGACATGTTTCTCTAACTAATCATTAAACCCATTACCTCCAATCCAATGCACAGCTAGGCCAAATCATAGTAGTATCATACTACATATTTTTTGCGGGGGTATCATACTACATCTTAATCATATATCCTTGCAGCAATAGTATGACTTGCAGGCTGCTACTCTAGGACCGTATCAGATCAGTCATTAGCTTCATCTTATAATACATCAAAATTCTAAACTAACACACTGCCTACGCATCTCTTTAGAAATCACCACCTAGAGTGAAAGTAAAATTCCAATCTGACTACCTTGCCGCCTCTGTCTTCTCGTGGATTGACGGACAGGGGTGAAGGCCGCTCAGGAGTTCAAGGCTCACATAATAGAACAGATGAGGTTCACATAATAGAACAGATAAGGCTCACATGACAGAACAGATGAGCTCTCGGTTGTGATGGTATGCCTTCGAGAGGAGCAAACTGCTAGCTAAAAAAATGTTGATGGACATCTTATAATGGACCAAAGAGCTGCAATGCCTAACTCTCCATGAAGAAAGAAATTGCAAATACAAGCCTGGTAAGCTATACAAACAACCAACAGTTGATGATTGAGCTGAACGCCATAGGCATAGAAGCCCCTCCCAGGGGCTGAACACCATAGGCATAGAAGCCAACCTCACCGTCTGAACACCGTGATAAAAAAACATGCATTGTTAAGCAGGATATTAGAAACAGGTTAGGGGAAAATTATGCACATGACCATTGATAGATCAAGATATAACAAGTTGCTATGCACATCAAGCATCCTGTCTCAATGGATTAATAAATAGGCGCTTCACTGGAAATATTTAAGTTTTGACACTCATCCACGTGACAAAGCAATAAAACAATGAGATGGTTATTAAATTTCATAACAAAAAAATTATCCAACGGAGATACTGTTACATTGCAAATTCTTGTATAGGATCAAAACATGGAAGAATTAAATTACTAACTCGGTTGCTCCATGCCTGCAACTGTTGTTCCAATTACATAACTAGTATATGTGCATCTAATTAGTATTAGTTGGAGGTAGTATACAAAAAAGGAACTACTGAAGTGCAGTCATCAAAATAACTCCCATTACAAGGTCTAGAATGCGGGATCATGAGAACTGTTGATGGGATTGGTCTTGAACGCGGGATCATGAGGATGGTTTACGGGACTGACCATAGCCACATCACCGCTACCGGTGTTGCACTCACTCTGTGACCTTCTTCACTACTTCAAACTGTTTGCCAATAGTACAAAATGTTCATGATTTAAGAAAATGTTCAAAAATCTCTAAAAAATGCTCACGAATTTGAATATTGTCACGATTTCAAATATGTTTACGAGTTTAGAAAGTGTTCATGATTTTCAAAATTTGTTCATAATTTCATGAAAATGAGAGTGATAGTGTATCTTGGTGATGCAACAAAATGTGGTCATAGCCATTGGAGATTATGATTTTTTTTTCTTTCCCGTTGCAACGCACGGGCCATTTTGCTAGTAGTAAACTATAATTTTTCATTGAATTGTAAACACATTTTTTTGCGAAGGAAACTATACATACATTAAAAACAATGAAGAATATTAATAATGTCCTAATTAGTCTTAGGCAAATGTCCTTTCTTTTCTTGGCCACCTATAAAAACAATAGCACTGTCGTCAAGTTTTTTTAAGAGAATAGCTTGGTGTAGCTAGGAAAGGTGGGTGTTACAAACAGACACACAATCATGCTTTTTTATTATAAAAAAAGATTGAGAACTGTAATTTCTACCGCAGCAGACGAATGTGTGTTCTCGTCTCCCCTCATCGAGTAGTTCTGGGTTTTCTGGCCCAGCCTGATGCGGGCCGGAACAGAGTATGGGAAATGGGTCTATGGCATGTGGGGCCTTGGCTGATGCTAAGGAGGGAGTAAGCCCCAAAGCAGTAGGGAGCGCCTTGGCTGACCCATTTATGAACTAACTACTCTTCTTCGGCTTAGGCCGGTGTTCCTGTTGCACTGACTTTGATAGTCTTGGGAGCTCGTGACTCGCTAGAATTCGAGCAAGACATGTACAGAGGGTACTGGTATAGTAAATCTAGCCATAGCTGGGAGGAACTATTCTCCCTATCTCTTGTGTTTGTGGTTCCTGTATAGCAGACCATGACATGTTTAGTCCAAACAAGAAGTTACTATCTGACCAGGGAACCATTGTGATGCTAAGAGACTTCCTCCCGATGCCTTTCATTCCTAAGACCCGTTACAATCACCAATAGCTTGTGAACTGGACAACCTATTATCATTGCCTTTCTATTTCCTAGTATCACCTGGCAGCGTATACTCTTCTTGCCAAAACCCGCTAACTAGGAGATACATATATAGGTTGGATTGCCTAACTAGTAAGTGTGGGTTTGATTAGAGGTTGGTTGAAAATCAATGAGCCTCAACAAGAACCTCACATCATTTTTTATATCTTTGTTTGTGCATATCTTTACTCCTTTATGGAAAAAATTTACAGGTATTTGGTGCTGCGACATGACTTTATTTGTATGTTGTCCCTCCCCTTGTTTGTGTTATTTCTCATTTCCTCCAATGTGGGACAAGCTTGCCCTCCCACAACATAACCCCCTGTTTGGGCGACCACCCTCATGCCTCTCACAACTCCCATAGTTTCATGCCTTAATCGAGCATCTTTACCCCGTCTTGAAAATATAATCTATTGTAACCAAATTCGTTTGTGCCACTTTACACTTCGTTGGCGTGACCTCATTTGTCAATGTTGTCGATAGTGGCATGATTGTCGTCGAGTCATGGACTATGGTCAAGGGTTCGATGTTGTCTGTGGGATGTCCGCCTCTCGTGCCATGGACCACTGACACATGCTCATTAGCCGTTGTATTCACGTTCAGATGGATCATTAGCTGTTGTATATATCCACGCTCAGATGGATAATGATGCTCAATATGGTTGACGATGATCCATGATTGCAAAATAATACTTGAACATTCTGTGTCATATAACCACAGATTGCTAGTACTGGCCACCATCATTTGTGAACTTTCCTCCCTTCGAAAAAGCATGAACTTTCTCGTGTCAAACAATGAAGACACATTTAATGTTGAGGCTAAGTTGTTCGTGTGGAAGTACCAACATCAAAAGAGGCTGCATACAATTACTGATCCAGGTGGAGTGTGATCTCTATTACACGAAAGGACTCAAGCAATCGGCAGTCACCACATTGGGCTACTTATCATCGACGGGGCATAGATATAGAAGTAAAATAAAATGTGTGCAATGCTAATTATGTGTAGACTACTGCATCGATACTGCCCTCCTACGATTGGTTAAAGTGGTTGGGTTTGCATACCAACACCAAAGCAACTCTACACATAAGCACTTTCTGACAAATGCCTACATGGTTTCATATATAAGATCATGCCGACACAATTTCATTGCATAAGCCTCTAAAGTAAGCAGCTTGAAAGATCAGAAGCTTTCAAACACATAATAGGATCAAAAGGGACATGTTTCTCTAACCAATCATTAAACCCATTACCTCCAATCCCACGCACAACTAGGCCAGATCATAGTAGTATCATACTACTTTTTTTTGCGGGGGTATCATACTACATCTTAATCAAATATCCTTGCAGCCATAGTACGACTTGCAGGCTGCTGCTCTCAGACCGTATCAGATGAGTCATTAGCTTCATCTTATAGTATATCAAAATTCCAAACTAACACACTGCCTACGCATCTCTTCAGAAATCACCACCTAGAATGTAAATAAAATTCCAATCTGACTACCTTGCCGCCTCTGTCTTCTCGTGGATTGATGGACAGGGGTGAAGGCCGCTCAGGAGGTCAAGGCTCACATAACAGAACAGATGAGGTTCGCATAACAGAACAGACGAGGCTCATAAAAGAACAGATGAGGCTCACATGACAGAACAAATGAGCTCTCGGTTGTGATGGAATGCCTTCGAGAGGAGCAAGCTGCTAGCTGCAAAAAATGTTGATGGACATCTTATAATGGATCAAAGAGCTGCAATGCCTAACTCTCCAGGAAGAAAGTAAATTGCAAATACAAGCCTGGTAAGCTATTCAAACAACCAACAGTTGATAATTGAGCTGAACGCCATAGGCATAGAAGCCCCTCTCAGGGGCTGAACAACATAGGCATAGAAGCCAATCTCACCGTCTGAACACCGTGATAAAAAAAACATGCAGAAACAGGTTGGGGGAAAATTACACACATGACCTTTGATAGATCAAGATATAACAAGTTGCTATGCACACCAAGCATCCTGTCTCAATGGATTTATAAATAGGCGCTTCACTGGAAGCTTCACATGAAATATTTAAGTTTTGACACTCATCAACGTGACAAAGCAATCAAACAGCGAGATGGTTATTAAAATTTAGTAACGAACAAATTATCCAACGGAGATACTGTTACATTGCAAAATCTTGTACAGGATCAAAACATGGAAGAATTAAATTACTAACTCGGTTGCTCCATGCCTGCAACTGCTGTTCCAATTACATAGCTAGTATATATACATCTAATTAGTATTAGCTGGAGGTAGTATACAAAGAAAGGCACAACTGAAGTGCAGTCATCAAAATAACTCTCATTACAAGGTCTTGAACGCAGGATCACGAGGATGCTTTATGGGACTGGCCCCAGCCACATCACCGCTGTCGGTGTCGCAATCACTCCTCGACCTTCTTCACTACTTCAAACTTGAGCTTCTTCTTGTCATCCGTAGCATCAATGGAAATTGTCGAGCCTTCACTGGCTTCACCTTTGACTAGCATTTGGGACAGCTTAATCATCACATTCTTCTGCAACCATCTCCTTATGGGCCTTGCACCATACATCTGTGAGAGACAAAGCATGCATGGTTACCAAAACGCAAAACGTACAAACACATATGAAAACATGAGCCAAATCATTCTTCTAGGTTTGAAAAGAAGCTATGTCGTACTGGGTTGTATGATTCCGATAAAATGACATCCAGCACGGCATCACTTGCAAAAAGAGAGATGCCCTTGTCAGCTACCCTGGAAATGATGCTCTTCATTTGGATTTTCACAATCTCCTTCAATTTGTCATGCAAAAGCGGCTCAAATACCACAATCTCACTCAGCCTGTTGAGTAACTCAGGCTTGAAGTGTTTCTGAACCTACACAAACATTATATATACATATATGAGAAACTCAGGCTTAAGTGTTTTCCGAGCCATTACACCAGCACTCTGGGATTCACAAACCTGTTTCATCAAAAGGTCACGTGCCGCATCCATTGTGATTTCTCCGGCCATTCCTGCTGTGAGGTGCTCTGCTCCTAGATTTGAGGTCATAATGATGATGGTATTCTTGAAATTTACTGTCCGCCCTTTGCCATCGGTCAACACACCATCATCAAGAAGTTGAATAAAGATGTTCAACACCGAGGGATCCGCCTTCTCCACCTCATCGAAAAGGATGACACTGTATGGGCGCCTCCTAACCTTCTCAGTTAGTTGCCCACCATCATCACAGCCCTGATGGCTTTAAGAAGTTACAAAAGAAGCATTAATATCAATCAAGCTAAAGACTAAGAAAATATGCAATGTTACAAAATACATTCAAATTACCTTGGGGGTGCTCCAACGAGACGCAAAACAGATCCACTGCCAACATATTCAGACATGTCAAAGCGAACCAACATCTTCTCACTTGCGAATAGCTGCTCAGCAAGAGCTTTTGCAAGCTCTGTCTTTCCAACACCGGTTGAGCCCAAGAAGAGGAAAGATCCTATGGGTTGGCCGGGATGATTAAGGCCAGCCCTAGAACGCAACACTGCTTCGGCGACCACATTTACCGCTTCATTCTGGCCAACAACTCGCTCATGCAGCCTGTCTGCTAGGTGGATTAACTTATCCTTGTCCTCTTCCTCAAGTGTACAGACAGGAATTCCAGTCCATAGGCTCACAACCTTCAAATAACAGTGTTAGAATTTGCATGAAAAATGCATCTCATTGACTGAAACAGTAGATACATGTCATTGGGAAAAAATGCTTACTTGTGCAACATCATTTGGTACAACAGTTGCTCCCTTCACTGGATTTGCAGAGCGACTTTGCTTTGCATTCAATTCCTCTGCTTGGTTGTCAATCTGAATCAACCTTTTTATTGTGGCACTGCATGCCTCATCAATCAGATCAATAGCCTTATCCGGAAATTGACGACCTATGGTAAAGACAGCAACAAATCCATTAATGTTATACAATATATATCCATTGTTGACACTCATGGGTGCAACACGGCATAAAGGAAAAATTGCGCAGGTTAGCCATCAATTTATAGGCACATCACAGTAAATAAGATTGTAATTCTAGAATTATCTCAACTTAATGTTTCCAATGCAACAAGACTGCGGATTGTTTAATTATAGCATGTGAACTACGGAGCCTTGAGATGGGGCAGACCATAACGACAAAACATCATATGTACGTACATCCTAATAACCACTTGAAACAATAGAAGCGGGTAAATTCCTCACCAGTGATGTAGCGGCCAGCAAGCTGTGCAGCAGCAACAAGAGCAGCATCTTGGATTTCCAGGCCATGGTGCTGTTCATACTGCTGCTTTAGCCCCCGCAGAATGCCAACTGTCGCCTGCGTGCTTGGCTCCTCGATGTGTACCTTCTGGAATCGCCGCTCGAGTGCAGGATCCTTCTCAATGTAATTACGGTAACCATCAAAAGTCGTCGCGCCCACGCAGCGGATACGACCACGGGCTAACGCCGGCTTCAACATGCTGGAAGCATCAGTAACTCCACGGCCACCAGCACCTCCAGCACCAAGAAGCGTGTGCATCTCATCGATGAAGAGAATTATCTTGCCGCCCGCATTCTCCGCCTGCTTGATCACGCTCTTCATCCGCTCCTCAAACATACCTCGGTACTTGGTTCCTGCGACCATGGCCCCAAGGTCGACCTCCACAACGCGTGCCCCGGCGAGCGCTGCAGGTACCTTGCCGGTAGCGATGCGCTGCGCGAGGCCCTCGGCGATGGCCGTCTTGCCAACCCCCGCAGGTCCGACCAGCGCGGCGCAGTTCTTGGTCTTCCGGCATAGAATGGAGATAACGCGGTCGATCTCGTCGTCACGGCCGACAACCAGTCCAACTGCCTTGCCGGTCATGTGGCGCCCATAGGTGCGCAGAGCCGCTTTACGATCATAGTACCTCCATGCTGCCCAACCCAAACTAACAGCTGTTCCAACGAAGACCAAAGGTTCCACCCGTCGCCAAATCGAAGACATACGGCCCTGGGAGCACGTTAACATGGCCCCAAGCCGATGGAAGACAGTTCCTTGCACAACCAAGGTCCCAAGAAGTGGATCGTAGGTCTCTCCCATACCTGTACAGAAGCCTTAACCTGAACAAGTTAAAAGACAGCAATGCTTCATATGTATGCAGAGAGAGTGCCTGAGGATGCATGTACATCTAAAATGCACCAATACGGATATATAAAAACTTAATCTTTTCCTTTTTCATATATCGTCAATCCTTGCATGCTTCACTGCTAACATGTTTTAAAACAAAACATTTGCTCGTCTGAAAAAAGAAATCAAACTAGTACAATTTGTAACATTTGCTCCTACAAGCATTATGACAAACACCTATCAAGCAAAATCCTTTCAGATGTAACCTTGAACATGCACTGGAAAAACCATGTACCAAGTACTCATCAAGAAACAGTTATCATTACATTCTCACAATATGAAATCTACAGCAAGTAATCGCCCAATACAAAAATCAGGGGAAAAATTGAACAGACAGAGGATGCCAGAGGAAGGAGGGAGGGGGAGGGGGGAAGAGGGAGGGAGGGGGAGGGGGGAAGGACGAATGAGTGATGGCTACCTGTCTATGGACTGGTCGCCGGCGTGGCTCCGGTCGGCGGCGTTACTGGGAGAGAGCGCCTGCTCCAGAGAGGGAGGCGCTGCTGCTGGGAGCGGCTGCTCGGCGGAGGGAGGCGCTGCTGAGCCCCTGTACCGGCGGCGGGGCAGCGGACGGCTGGGCGCGGCGCGGCGGCGGGCTGGCGGCGGCTAGGAACCCCAGTCGCGCTCGGGAAAGACTGGTCGTTTGGTCGGGACTCGGGAGGGAGGCTTGTCCTATATGAAGGACGCTCGAAACGGCGCTCTCGGTGTGTCCTGGTGGAGGAGCTAAATACGTATCGGTATCCGATACAGACACGCCGGGTCTAGGATGTGCTCCCTTTTTTTCTTTTGCATTGATGTATTTTTGTCTCTTTTTTTTTTAATATCAGTATAGACACAACACAAGCGCTCATATATACGCGCATACACTCACCCCTATGAACGCACACACGCACACCCTACCCCTATGAGGACCTCTAAAAGACTGAGCCGGCATATCATCTTGAGATTTACGAAGTCACTGTAGGCGCCTGTCATTGTAGGCGCCTCGTCGTCGACATGAACGTCTCCTTCCATTGAATGCACATCACCGAAAATCCTGAAATAAATCCAAAAATAAATGTGAGCATCAGGATTTGATGCCCTGGTGGGCTGGGGATACCACAGTCCCTCTAACCATCCGACCACAGGTTAGTTCGCATGTATTTTTGTCTTTTAGAATTACACATAATGAAGAGAGAATTTTTTTTGTAGAAGATCAAACTCCCTGCTGTATATCCCCCGCAAAAAAAAAAACTCCCTGCTGTATACAAGGCGGGATTTCAGAATTTTTTACTATTCTGCTTTGTTTCAAAAAACCGAGTTGAATTTCAATTTGTGTTGCCTGATGAGAGGTAGGATTGGAAGACAACCCGGGGCGAACTCTGAGGAGAAGTGGGATCTGAGGGTCAAAAGAAGTTTTTCTTTTGGGCAAAAAAACACAAAAGAGAGAAAAAGAAACAGTCATAGTTGCTCCACTCTTCCTGTCTTCGATGCTGCAAGTCCTCAGCCCCGCCTGATTAGTCAGCCGCTCCTCGAAGGGGCCCTTGTCGACTGGACCTGATCAGGTACGCTTCCGATGGTGCCGTTCCACCCTGGATGGAGCGAGGATCTTCTTGGGCGAGGTCGGGTGCTTGCCACGGCCTTGAAGCACAACAATTCCTATTTGCAATAGTGAAGCTCATAGTTTAGGCCAACTCCAGCGCATGACCGCAAATCGTCCGGGCCTGTCTGTTTGGGGCAAAACGGACATATCAGACGGCCCAGCACGCGACCCCATCCGCAAAAAACGTTCGTTTCTGGTCCGGCTCGCCCTATCCTGGGCGCAAACTTGGTCTGGATTTGCGTCTGAAAGAGACACGACCGGACATTTTCTGCGTGGTCCTCGTCTGCCCCTGTCCCTTTGCATGTGAGGTCTGGCCCGCTAGTCATTGAAACAAAGGGGACCCATCCACCCAACCATCCCCTCTCTCTCTCTCCTCCTTTTCTCCGATTCTTCCCCACCGCGCCGGCGCGCGACCCCGGCAGCCCGGCAGCCCCGAGTGGCCGACGGCATGCACCATCATAGGCTCGTCGGAAGGGCGGCGCGCGGTGCACGGCGGGCGCGAGCAGGTGAGCGCGGGTCGAGCACGGGGAACATGGCGTGCCTGAGCGCGAGCGGGCGCGGTGAGCTCTGTGGCGGCTACGGACGGGCGCGGCGACCAGGCTCGGCGGCGGGCGGCAGGGCGAAGCGGGCGTGCATGCCCTGGCAGCGCGTGCTAGCTAGCTAGCTGCGGCGTGCACGGGCGTGCTAGCTAGCTAGCTAGCCAACCAGCCGTTGCGGACGAGCGCGGGCGTGCTAGCTAGCTAGCCAGCCAGCCGTTGCGGATGAGCGCGGGCACGGTGAGCTCTGTGGCGGCTACGGACGGGCGCGGCGACCAGGCTCGGCGGCGGGCGGCAGGGCGAAGTGGGCGTGCATGCCCTGGCAGCGCGTGCTAGCTAGCTAGCGCGGGCATGCTAGCTAGCTAGCTAGCTAGCCAACCAGCTGTTGCGGACGAGCGCGGACGTGCTAGCTAGCTAGCCAGCCAGCCGCTGCGGACGAGCGCGGGGGCGGCGAGGGCGGATGGTGTCGTGGTCCTAAGGCTGATAGTAGAAAGGGGGTAGGTATGGAGAGGCAAGATCTTAGCTATGGCGAAGATGTACACACAAGGTTTACGAGTTCAGGCCCTTCTCGGAGGAAGTAATAGCCCTACGTCTCGGTGCCCGGAGGCGGTCGATTGGATTATGTGTGTTGTATTACAGGGGGTGCGAACCCTTGTCCCAGAGGAGGGGGTGAATTATATAGAGTGCGCCAGGACCCCCGCCCGCCTCCATTACAAGGGGCTTAATGTACATAAAGTAAGGGGCGTTACTGGTAACGCCAGCCTTAATTACTCTTAATGCTTATCAAGACTAAGGAGTGAATGTCAGGCCGTTGCGTGCTCTTCTGACTCCTGATCTTTGATATAGTCGAGTGACTCCCCATATGGTCGAGTGACGGTAGGGGGTGGTCGTCGAGTGATGTGATCGTCGAGTGGATTGCACTCGACGTACTTGACTGGTGTTCTTCTGTTGACTCTTGGTCTTTTTATCTTCTGGGGTAGTGACCTTGGGTAGGACGTATGGGCCGGGCATATGACCCTACCCCAGGTCTATATCCTCGTCAGTAGGCCCCGAATGGATTAAGGTGCGAGTGGAAAGTAGGCTGAAGTTGATCCTGCTCCGAGCTTCAGGCCTTCGCGAGTGCTTTCTGCAAATCTGAACACCTGCGTCGGTATTTCGGTGTCGACTCAGTCGCCTTGATCCATTTAATGAGTCGTCGACTGACACTACAAGAAATATGTCAACTTATGACCTTCTCTTAGTGACCCCAGCTGAATTGGTCGTAAATTCACGGCCATTTAACTTGGAAGGGCTCAAACCCTGAAATTGCTTACACCAAATAGTCACAAAGCAGACAAGAGGCGCCAATGACCTTATTTCTACCTGATTACGACCAATATAAATGGTCATGAGGTTGTGAACGTGGATGCATTGATACTTATTACTATGACAAGGCGCCGCCTCATCAGTTTTGCCTATGTGTCATGTCCATGTGTCAATTTTTGCCCTAGGTTGTGAAGCAACCTATATTTCTGTCATTCCCAAAATTCCCAAAAAAATGGGCATTCTTTACTATCCAAATCATTGACTGGTAAATCTTCCTCGCAAATTTCCAAAGTTTTTGTTCAGCTCGAACTGTTGTGAAGGAAGTACTGGCTAGGCATATCCTAATGAGCTGAATGTTTGCCACATCTTCTATATTCCCAAATCATAGCTCTCCACAAAATTTGAGCCCCATCTAACAATACATGTGAGTGTGGCTTCAACATTCATATTTCTGTCCAGTATGGTACGTTGCAAAGCAAGTGGCACCTAGGCTCCTCCATTTGAGCTGCAAATTTTCCAAGATAGTGTCCTTAGTAGATGATCATCCTCGGCCAAAACTCAGGCCCATTTGCCATGTGCATTTCCCGTTCCACTAATCAAACACTTGGGTGCTAATTCATGTTTGAGCTCGGTTCAGTCTCCTCGTGAGATTCTTCTATTGACTTCTTCTTCATGACACCTATCAGGGGAGTGCCCAACCCACTAGACATGCCTAGGCCGCCCAGAACGCGTGGCAACACCACAATCACGCGGTGACCACGCGGCGGGCATGCGAGTCTACGCGCTTTGGAGTTGGGGCCCTGGGCCACCATCTAAACCTCAATGTATCGCCACCAAACCATGTATTTCTGATTAAATAGATACTTTTCTACCTAGAAATGATTTTTGGAAAAAATAAAGAGCAAACTATGAGGCAGCTACAGTTCAAATTTGACCCGCTTCCTACTGAATCGCCGAAAATTTGTCTTTTTCACCTGAGGTGGATCAAGGATTTTGACACCCAAACATTGTGTCAATTGTGCATTAAACATGGCCTAGTATTTTATAAAATTGATTTGGTCCATTTCTACAACAATTATTTGGTAGTTCCTTCACAAAAAAAACTCATTTCGGGCACTCGAAAAATGGAAAATGCATTTTCCGTGCAAAGAAAATGAAAACTCCCTTAGGCAACATTGTTTGGAATTCCAAGATGCACCCTTTTGCACAATATGAGATTATTTGAACAAACTATGCCATGAATGTGGCTATAAGGTTGATCATTTGGCTTGAAAGCCATGAATCTTCACGCATGACAGCTCATTTCTGAGAACATTTTTTTAAAAAAAAATCCGCATTACAAGTTTATTATTTTTCCTGGAAACTTGGTCACATATAATGACACAATGCAAAGGTTTTCCAATTTTTTGATTTTTTTTTGAATTTTTTATGCCCGTTTCAAAATGCGTTCAAAACGGCGGGCTTGACCGTTCCTAGCTAGTGGTTGAATCTTG